GCTAGCCGATATATGACGATCGGTATACTTAAAGGTGGGTCTAGGACCAATATTTCGCGGCGTTACAAACTTTTGGGGCTGCACAAAGCTATAATACCCTGACAACATAGTTGTGTAGGGTATTATGATTATTCCTGAATTGTAAGACCTGTTTTGTCTATTCCTTAAAATTCTTCTAGATATTGAATATCGTTTTGGGAAATTTTTCAATATAAGGAATGTTTGATTATTCCTATGATATAATAGGTTTATATGAACAGAAATAAAATGACTATATAGGTACAGAATATTCCCTATCAATTCTGTGTGTTTTCACATTCAACATTTTATATAACTATTTGTTTTTAAATACTACTCTTACTTTTATTTCAACTGATTTTTTCATAACTCTTTGTTTTTAACAAATACGGGGCGGGCTTAGATGAACGTCGGAAAAATAAACCAATAAGGTTTCTCTTCCCCAAAACTATTTAGAATCTCTCCAGTCTCTCGATGTATGCCAATAGATCACCAATGTAGTTCAACTTACATAAATTTTAAGAATTATTATTTTTGAATTTGCTTTCCATACTTTTTTTCATTTGTATATTTATAGCGAAACAAATTGAACTAGTCCTAACTATAACTTTTGAAACTATATCTCCTATACATATATACCTAACTATTGCTATTTAGTTTTATATAAAAAACATGCCAATTTATATCTATATTTAGTTTTAAGCATAAATGACGAGAAACATTATATGGAAAAAGGCCATATATTTTATTTAATCTCAAGATATTTATATGGTGATATGTGATGAATAAAGCTGTGAAGCCATACTGCGAGGCGGTATACGTCATAACATTAGCTGGCTTCTCTGACACTCGGCAAAAAAATATATGAATTGAATATTACTATTATATAATGTCGGATAGCTGCTGATGCGTAAAATATTTTGGTCATTTCTGAAAAGTGAAAACAGATTTTTGAATATCATTTAACCATCACCACCAATAGAGAATGTGTTGCACATTCTGTGGATTTGAAAAAAATCTACCTCAAATGATATTTAAAAAATCATAATTAGGAAAGTTATATTCTGTCTATTAATTGATGGTGTATTTTAGCTATAATTTATATTTATTTACTTTTGTGTTAAACTAAAATAAATTATTTACAGTTTTTATAAAATTGGCATTATATTACAAATTATATTTCACTATTGTAGAGATTAAAAATTCGAGTAAATGGTGAATTGTTGGATTTGTTGCAATATCTTCTAACCTATTCCGCATTAAGTACATTTTTAAAAATTTTACAATTTAAAATAAATTACTTCTTCTATAATCGTGAAACAGATAGAATATCGAAAATTCCAAATAAAATGTTTTCAATTTTAATTCTTGGTACTTCTTTTGTAACAATCAAACAATTCACAATTTATTCCTCCCTATTAGTTATTAGCATCTATCTCAATCTAAAATTGGCATAAAAATAAGTTAACAAAATTCTCCATTTAACATAAATATTATTTTCAGTATATTTTTTAAATTAATTATCTTTAAGTTGTAATAATAAATATTAGTTCCGAAATCTCTTGCATTGGATCTATATTTTCTTTCGATTCTTGAAATTAAAATCTGTCAGTATTATTATTTCTTATTATTATTTTAAATACCTCTTTCTCTACTCTACTCTTGCTCTTTTGATCCTGTGTAAAACTAACCCAAAAATACTCTATCACTCTTTCTATGCGCTATACTTTCTACTCCTCTCTTTCCCTCTAATTTTTTGCAAATGATTTAAGTAATATTAAAGAGAGAATAGCCCACCAAATTCCCTCCTTATTGTAAATTTTCCCAAGCGAAGAAAACTTCTTTATGAAAATTTTTTCTTAACAAAATATTTATATATACTTCAATAATATCCCATCACAATATTCCTATCCCAATTCAGCATCTAGTATATATCTTGATGAACATTATTTCCTTTGTAAAAATATCCCGATAGTTCCCTATTTTCAAATAAAAATGGTGGAACTTTAAAGTCAACAGTTTATGGAAAGTTTCGATATTTAAAAGAAATTGCATAGGCCTCAAATGAGAAAAAAAAAACAACAAAAATACAAAATAGATTTTGTTCAGATCATATCAGAGAGATGCCTTAATGGATTTCCTATATATTTACACATCCTCACCTTTGAATATTGTAATTATAGAAGAAAGAAGATCTGCTATAGGATTTCTATAAACGAAGTAACCAATAAGCGATAAATCTCAGAAAAATATTAACTTATTCCACGGAACCTCCCATATATTTCCTATCTATTGCAGACATTCCGAATCCAAAATTCGAAATGCCTAATTATAGCCACATCGGTTCGTAATACTTACTATGGGAACGGACCTCTCTATGGTGGCTAAGTAAAAACATTCTGACAAAGGTAATTTTATGATCGTTAAATCCGAAATGACTAATTATCGGTTGGAAATGCGTCTGGTACTTTCAAAGTTTTTCCGTTGGAAAATACGACTAAGGGAATACCTTCCATATGTTTTCGTATATAAAACCGCTTTACAGGTTTTCTATAAATAGAAGGTCTTCATGAAGTCTGCTACAAAGAGGAGATCTTCCGTATGCATATTTAAGGCGATCAACTGCTGATGTATCATACCAAGATCATATAAGACTATTCGATTTGTCTTCTATCCTCAATTTTCTTCTATATAAAACTTCATATCAGTTTTCTGTAGACAAAAAATCTTCACGAGATCTGTTAAAATTAAAAAAAAACTCCCGTAAGTCCCTTTTATGAAATAGAAACATGGTATAGAGCGATTTGCACTCCTTTTAGAGGTATTTTATAGATGGAAAGGTAACCACATAATATCCTGAAGAGATGTTTTATATCGAGGAGATTTTCAGGAGGTCCTTTTCTGAATGAATACTCTAATGGGTTATTCTGTAAGCTTTTCAGTATTCCTTCCCTAAATTCATGAAACTTTTTTCACATATTTTCGAACTTCATTAAGGCCCTTTTATGAAATAGAAACATGAGAGGTCTTCAATAAATAGATCGATTTGGAGACTTTTAAGAGATAAAAATATAGATAAAAAGCCTCAGAAAGTATTGTGCAGTATAGCATACCAAGATCGTCAATAATATAACCAATTTAACACGACTTCTTTAAGTAGATATCCTTCCTACAGAATGAAAAAAAAACAGGGAGTTATTCCCTAAAATTAATCTGAAGAGATGTTTTATAGCGAGAAGATTTGCAGGCGGCCCTTTCTCTAAATAAATTGCTTTCACACAATAAATAAATGTCCTTCCTACATACCGAAAAAAATCCAGTTATTCCCTATAATAATCTGAAGAGAAATTTTATAGAGAGAGGATTTTCAGACAGTTCTTCTCTGGTAGAAGACTCTCAGTTGATCTTCTGGAAGGGTTTCCGTATTCCTTTCCTAAATATATGAAACCGTTTTTAAATATTTTCTGTAGAAATAAATAAAAGTCCTTCATACAGTCCGAATATCCGAAAAGACCCTTGTGAATAAGGGACATCTATAAATAACACCTTGCAGGAGTTTTCTTGATTGATTAAAGTGGTATTTTTCATATAGAAGATTTTCCCCTAGAAATATAGAACCCCTTTCAAATATTTTCTGTAGATAGGCGTCTTTGCAGGCCCTTGATAAACGTGGAACATCAGATGTCTTCTATGGATAGATAGTCTCGGATTTTCTTTCCTATAAAAAAAATCTTCTTCTATTACAAGGCATTCAAAATTTTATTTTTAGATATTAGACTTCCTGGGAGGCTTTCAGAATTCCTTCCTTATATACATAGAACTCCTTATTCACATTTAATGTTCCGCAGTTCTACATTAACATAAAAACCCAAACTTCAATATGGATTCAATTATTATCCTTAAAATATCATACACATTTCCCATACAAAGAAGATTTTTAAATGGCCTACTAAGATCATCAAAATATGTACTATGAGTACAATTTGATCTCTAATAGATTTTTGTTAAATTTTCAAAATTTGTTAAATGTCAAAATTATAACGTATATCTTAACAAATTTATACCATTTCCAACGACAACTGTCTGCAACCTTCCATATATATATTTTTCTTATTATAGGTTTCTAAAAAATTAAGGAGTTTTCAACACACAAAATATTCCCTGTTGACTTTAAAATTTAACCATATGTATTTAAGATTTTTTGTAATATTATTACTCTCAAATTAATTTATTATCATTATTTTCTATTAATTTCTTGTAAAAAAGAAAATAATTTTACTAATTGGTGTCTTGTAAAAATATGTTTTCATTGGTTACAATTCTATGTTTCGTTTCAAAATCACAGTTAAAAATTATTTGATTTGCTTTAAATATTTTTTATTATTTTGCTTTACATTTGGTTTTTGTTTTTATTTTAAACAATTAATGTCTTTTTCTCATTTTGTTCACCAAAAAATAACAATTGACAACAAAAACAAAACTTGTATATCTTGTTCGAACTATTTCTATCTAAATTATTTTTTATTTTTGTGTTATGCCTTAATTAGTCGAAAATAAAACTAGTGTAATAATGAACTGCTGAATCGATTCTAAATTTATATATAATTTTTTTTATATTCTCTTAACAAAAAACCAAAAAACTATTCTTTACCAAAATATAACTAACAGTAAATTTTTGTTTACTTTATGAGTATTAAAAAAAAAATCCCCCTTCTGCCCCACCCAAAGAAAAACGTAAAACAAATAACAAAAATTTTAACTTTTTAACACATTACAAAAAAAAGAACATACACAACACATTACCAATACCAGTAAAAAATCCGGCTAATTATTTCGAATTCTTGTTGTTTCCTTTTCCTTTTTTTCTTCTTCAATCTACATTTTCTATTACATACATATATATTCTATATATAATCCTGTGTGTTACATCTGTCGTATGTAAACGCTATCGTTGTGCGTATATGACCAAAAATATTTTACAGTCGAACTCAATCAACGTTGGCTTCCTGCGTTTATTTCGTGCGGCGCGTCTTATCAAATTGCTTCGTCAAGGATACACGATACGTATTCTCCTGTGGACATTTGTACAATCATTCAAAGCACTTCCATATGTCTGTCTGTTGATAGCCATGTTATTTTTTATCTATGCCATTATTGGTATGCAGGTAAGTTGTCGTTTCAATTGTTTGTTATTACTATTATTAATTAATAATAAATATTTTTGTTTTATACTTTATAAATATTATATATATTAAAAAAAATTATTTGTTTCCATATATTATTTTTTATTAAATGTATATTTTTTATTATAAATATGGAAATCCGTTTGATTAACTATTGATTAAAACAAAAAAATATATTTCCATATTTATAAGAAGTCTTTTATTTTTATTTCAATAATTACTTATGCTTAATTATTTCATATTTCTTTGATTTAATAATATATCTTTATAATTTTAAATATATATTTGGCTAATTGGGCCTTAGCACCCAATTTATAGTGAACATTTAGGGAACCTTCTTTGTTACAAAAAACAGTTTTATGAGGTTATAGTCACAATTTGATCAAAAATTTATTTTGAATAGCAGTTAAAAATAATAGTTTATTTAACATTTAGGGATCTAATTATTTTAAATTAGATATAGTTATAAAATATTTATTATTCGCTAGGAAAATCAATATTTTTTTCTTCACATATTTAGATGAATAGAAAATGAACGAATAACAAGGGAATGGAATTTATTTCGATTTACAAAAGTGCACCAATTTATAAACGTACAATTATTGAGGGAGCATTATTTTTATAGAATAATTAAAAAATGAGGTATTTAGTCTGACATAAATTACAAAATATTTAAATCGCTTAAACTTTACATTATTCGGATAAATCGAAACATTGACCTCTTTTCATACAAAATTCTACATAAATTTATTTCTGGCCTAATAATAACAATTTTATAATATATTATCAAAAAGTTTTATTATTTTTCAAGGTATACTCGCTCATGACTTCGCATACCCTTCTTCTTCGAGCGTTCGAAACAATTGTCGAACACTTTACCACTTCAATATTGTTGTTGTGCATTTTGTGGCGAAAACAAATTTTGACAACGTATTTATTTCTTATTACCTATTTGAAATAGAACATTTGTTCCATAAGCCGATCGGTCCGATCTCTTCCAGTTTGATAGACTGTGTTTCGAAATGTTGTCTTCCACTTTCCATCTTCCCCTTCTGCGTGAACCATCTGTTGGCTCGCTTTTATATGCCTGGGGCATCCTCATCCATTCTCACAACATGACCTAGACAACGCAGTCGCTGCAGCTCGATACTACTGACTATGTCGATGTCCGAGTATAGATGGTACAACTCACGGTTCATTCGACGGCGATATTTACCGTTAACGCAGATCGACCAATACTAGAAATTATATTTCAAACTCCAAGAGCTGCCTCATCTGTTTGCGCAAGTACCCATGCTTCAGATCCATACAACATATTTTGTAGGAATGCCGAACGCAGACATAAGCTCTTTGATGCGGCTTTATAGTAGAATGTGCCGATGTCTTTTTTGGGAGCTTTTTTATTTATTTATCATTAAGACGGGTGCGAACCTTGGCTGGTACAAGGTAATGGTCCGAATCGCTTCTCGGATCGATCGAACGTCTAAAACACTAGATGAATGCCTTCAGCCTATCACAACATGATCATTTTAATTTCTTGTTGCTTGAACGGGAGAAATCCAAGTGGCGTTTTGTATATCGAGATGCTTGAATCTGGTGCTGCTAACTACTATGTTTTTTGCTGCCGCGAAGTCAATCAATCTCATGCCGTTGTCTGGTGTTTCTTCATGGAGGCTGAATACTCTCTTCCGTTTTTTGCATTAAAATCAGCGGTCATATGCTGTTTATAGCCTTCGGAGCATGGGCTTTCGCCCATGAAGACGTGGTCTTTTATTCTCTTGTTAACTATAAATCCACAGCCAATTCATGTCTATTTTCATAGCAGCTATAATACACTGTGCAATCGTCTTATTTACTTACGCCTGTCCATTTCCATCGCATTTCCTGTAAGGCAATAATATCGGCTTTGTACTTCTGAGTACATCCACCAAGGCTAAAAATGCGCATGTTTTGTACAACGTGCGCCCATTCCATGTTCAGATTCGCAGATCGTGGTCCTTTATACGTTTGCAGGGATCGTCAACATTCGGGGGTTTAGGTTTCTTTTTCATAGTTCTCATGGATGAACTCGCGGCCATAATTGAGATGAAAGAGGGGCCAAGATAAAGTCCTCTAGAAACTAAACACATTTCAAGGATTCCGGAACTTAGTGATTTTTACATTTAAATTTGAAAGATTATTTGACGAACAACAATATCCTCTTGGTGCACTTTTTTTAAATGTATATAAACATTTTGGAATTAATATTTCTTTATATTTAAATAAATAATTTGATCTATATTTCACAAATCTTCCCTCGTTATTCATTTATAAAGAAACATATTGTATAGGAATTTTATATATATTAACCAGTATATTTGATTATAAAAATTATTAGTAATTTCTTATTTTCTTCCTCTCTATAAAAAAATAATACAAAACCAACCAAACAAATATATTAATAACGAAACATATATATTTATTATTTATATATGAAAAATCAAACCTTAACACAATCAAAACGCTATATATACGAAAACGTAAAAAAAATCCCTTCAACGAAATGAAATCGTAATACGAAAACCAAAACCGAAAAAACAACTGTTACAAATTTCTAAAGGTTTTCGGCAATATAAAATACGATCCGAGATCTGAGCTAAACCGGCACAATAATTTTCAATCGTTCTCCGGAGGGATCATGCTGCTTTTTCGGTAAAAACCATTGTTGATTTTGAACAAGTATTTGCAAAACAAAGTAATTATTTTTTTAAAAAGTATATTTCGTATTCAGAAAAAAACCAAAACTAATATGAAAAAAACTACATTCCCCCCAAAACCAAAGAAACAAAATTTTAGTTAATGTTGTTCTTTTTTTGTTTTGTTTATGTAGTCACATAACCAACCATACAAAGTTTTTAGTACAACAAACATACAAACGTTGAATTACGAATTGCCAAAATGCAAATACACACAATTGCCACCAACCAAACAAACAAACTACCAACCAACCACTCCACCCACCAAATATCACCACTACTCGTACAACAACAATGAATCAAATTTGATCAATTTGTATACTATACAACATACTATAATCTATATACTATATATATACATATACAACAAAATGTATAATTACCAACTTAAAAAAATCAATATAACGTTACCTTAGATTTTGTTGATGATCTCTATATAAACGATTTCTATATACAATAATAATTATATAATTAACCAATTAAAATGCTACTAATAATAAATTTATCGATAATTTTTAATTATTGAGGGTTCCTTTTGAAAAGTAGTTAGTGATTTGATATTGAATTGAAAAATAAATATTAAAAATACCTATGAAGTATTTCTTTAAATAATAATAATATATTTGTTAAATATTCAGAGTGTTGTTGTTTATTTTTATAATTTTCTTTGAATGCTTCGTTTTTCAGTTTCGTTGGTTTGTTTTATTTGTATTTTCATTCATTCGTTCGTTCTTTCTTTCATTCATTTATGTGCATAAAAGTTAAGAAATTAGTTTATTGTTTAATTATTTGTGCAGCAAAAATGCAATAAAAAAATTAGAAAAAGTGTACATGTAAACAAAACAGTTACGTTTTTATTGATGTTGGATTAAAGTATTGATTCCAAAACCTCCTCCAAATTTTCAAAACAAAAATTACATGAGAATATCACAAATTGAGTAATTTCCCCCCTATCCAATTGTTAACACCCCAACGTTAATATTAGATTAGAAGTAATTATAAAAAATAACACAAAAACAAGGACATTTTTGCTAAGAGAATGTTTAAATGTGAATGTATTTTTTTGTTTTTGTGTAATATAAAAAATAAAATATATAATGATATTATTTTTAATATTTTCCATACTTAAATCAGCTATTTCGCAAACACCACCGCTATCCAAATATGAGTAGTAATAGAAAAGTCATTTACTCATCTAATATTGTTATTACAACGTCGTCTATCGGGCTTATACGGCTAAAACATCCACTCTTCAGTAAGACCTTCAAAAAATATTTTTAAATCATCCACTCTTCAGTTAGACCTTCAAAAATATTTTTTAAACATCCATTCTTCAGTTAGAAGACTATTCACGCATCTGTTAGACCTTTAGGCATTTATTGAAAACAACACCTTTGATATACCTTTAGAAATTTATTAAAAAAAAACATATTTGACAGACCTTTAGAAATTTACCATGCCTATTTTTTTCTTCTAAAATACAACAAATGTATTCTAGAAAATCCACGCCTATTGTAGAACCTCAAACCGATTATCTTTTTTATTTAAAAAATATTCGATAGCATTTCAAAAATATTACATCCGCTAGTCTTTCAAAACTATTAAAAACCAGTGAGCGGAGCAGTATAGTCGGACGGGGTCGACCATATGATACTACACAACTTCCACGAAAAAGTAACTCTGTGTGGTTCTATATTCAGAGCTTGGACAATATTTCGCGATATTTGCACGCTCTTGACCGACTAGAGATCAACAAATATTACTAATATTCAGCCCTTCTAATTACTTGATGTTCGGCTTCTGGCCTATAGATCGACTCGAAAAAAACAAAACAAATTAAGTTTTCGGTCCACTTTATACCAATATTATTATCTGATCATCACTGAAAATTATAGGCGTTGTCCTTGACGATACCTGGATCCTCATGGAAAATTTCAAAGCGATCAGCGCTATATTTGCGACCTCCAGTGTGGTAATGGGTTACTAAATAATATCTGAATAAGTAAGCACCTGTAAATATTTACGTGTAACTCCCACATCTTAGTACATACGACAATATAATTGGTATCAATTTAAAGGTCACCCACTCCTCTTGGATATACTATCAATTTCTCGGGTCTATTTCCTTCAGGGTAAAATATATACGCTATAGAATACAATTTTTGTCATTTTCCACACAAAAGTTAGGGTATATTTGACCCGCTAAATTTTGACCGATCTTTATCAAAGCAGGCCAGCTTATTTTGTGGCCATAATTGCGGGCTCTGGAGCGAACCGATATGAACCGATCTTTTCCAAAAACAATAGTGGTCTTCATTGGCCAGAGCCCATCCTACATGCAAAATTTCGTGAAGATTGGTCCATAACTGTGGCCGGTATCATGTTTACAAATTATAATGGACAGACGGACGGACACATATGTCTAGATCGACTCAGCTATACGAGATATGACGATCGGTAAACTTAAAGTTGGGTCTAGGACCAATATTTCGCGGCGTTACTAACTCTTTATTTTTAAAAAATTCCCATTTCAGTTAGACCTTCAAACAATATTTTTTCAATCCTCCGCCTCAGTCATTAAAAAATACATTTTAAAAAAATCCACGCCGCAGTTAGTCTTCAAGCTCAAAGGTTTGGTCCCAAATCATATCAGGATATTACCTGCTTCCATGCCCGCTTTATATTGTAAGATGTCGTGTCGAGATCAACATACTTTTTTCGGAGGATGATCTCTGTGGCCATGTGGCCAGTTTTGGTTTCCTACCAATTGTGCATTTCGACACAGCATTCTCAACTGAAAAACGTATGTTTGGTATCAACTAGAACGTAATTTTTTCGTATATGCAAAGTGGTGAACTGCCTCTAGATCGATAGGGAAGATACCAGCTGTTACAAGACCGACACCGTTCTGAATGATTAAGTAACACGGAGCGCCGCAGCTATTTGTACAGATAATAAAAAAATAAAATTCCCTCAAAAAGTAACAACATGACGTTTCCGAGACTTTACAGAATAAAGTCTAGAATGATGTGTTTTAAGTTTCGTGAAAATAAGTTCCGGTTTAGATATAGCTCCCATATATATTTTCCTCCGATTTAATATAAATGGTGTACCAAAGTCCCTATATATCTTTCGAATTGCACGAAATTTAGCATATCGCACTGAATTGTGTCTGAAAATCAGTTCAGATTTATATAAAGCTCCTATATATATTTTCTTCCGATTTTATGTAAACTGTGCACTAATGACCTAAAGTTAGTCCGATTAACATACTATTTTATACAATGTACTGAGGTTAATATAAATTAATCTCTGACAAGTTTCGATGAAATCGGTTCAGGTTTACATATAGTTTCCACATATACATTTTCCTCCTACTTAATGTAAATGGTGTACCAAAGTCCCTATACTGAATTAAGTCTAGAATGCTTTATGCTAATTTTCGTGGAAATCGGTTTAGATTTAGATATAGATCCCATATATATTATTTAATGTAAATTGTACCCTTAAGACGCAATGTACTGAATTTATTAGAGACTAATTTCATACAAGTGTCGTTGAAATCGGTACGGATTTAGTTATAGCTCCTATATAGTTTCGTGCGTCTGATTTTATTTAAATGGTTCATCGTGGAGCCTACGACTGTTCCATATACACGAAATGAAATTGTGGACAACGCACTGTGCTGCAGCTCAATTAGGTCCAGAGTTACATACATTCATAATTTTGCTTGGTTTTATACAAATGGTGCACCAACGAATCGAAGTCTCCCCGATTGACCAGGAATTTTTCATAGATTTCAGAATAGTATGCGTACGGGATTCTTGTAATAGGTTCAAATATCTATGTTGATCACACATTTAATTCCATTTCAGAGGTCCTCTAAAGATGGTATGTCTTTTCTATCTACAGGATATTGTACATATGAGCATCCCAAAATGGTGAAGGGTATCATATAGTCGGCCCAGTCCGACTTTGTAACTTTCTTTACTGGTGTTATATAAATTATATCCTGGTTTTAGTAAGGTAAACAGAAGAAGGATATATTCCTCATTCGATTTGACCGAAGATAAGTCATCTCAAAATTAACCTGCAATATCCTAAAACAATGATATTAAGTTTTTTCTGCGAATCGAATGTCTAATTTGTCCTTCTTGGTTCTTTATATACTCTCCAATGGCTTTCATCCCCATAAGAAAATTTTCTCCCCCAGACAATGAGCGAAATTTTATGTCACTGTAAAATTTGCGTAGTTATTGTATGGAAATTATAACAAAAGTTTGATGAACTTGATAAATTTTCAATTCAACATTACTTATTTAACTCTAAGAAATAAAAATAAAAAATTACAATAAATTTAACTTACCAAAATATTTATCACATTCACATATCCTTAGCGTGAAAAAATGTCCTTGACCTTAGATATCCAATATATCCAAATATGTTGAATTTTGTTTAGTAATATTTGCAATTGTTTTTGATTATCTGAAACAAAAGATAACAAAAAAATAAAATGTTATTTATTTAAACGAGTTGTTATTTGTAGTTAAACAAGTTCTTCTTTGTACTTTAAATTTAGAACGCTTTTCTATAATTTCGTTCTGATCATTTACATGAAACACTCCACAACTAATGATATATTTATTTCTATATATTTTTTTATTTTATTGGTATAATTATATAGACTTTTTTGTTCTTTATATTTACTTTTATTAATTTTTTATTTTATTACAAAACATTTATATATCTATATAAGAAGATTTATTATTTTTAATTTCATATTTTTATAAAACTCATTTAATTCACAAAAAACCAAACAAAAAAACTAAAACTTATTTTGACATTCGTAACGCGTGTGTCGCTGTGTGTGTACTGTTGTTATTGTATCGCAAATAGGTATTCGGAAATATCAAACTAGGGACAGTGGAAAATACGATAACTAGGCACAACAACTTCCAATCATTTGTACAAGGTGTTATGCTCCTATTCAGGTATGTAATGCTGTTTTAAACTTAACCAAACAAACAATGAACTAAAAAAAAAAAAAAAAAAAAGAATACAAAAAAACCTAACAACAAAAAACTCTAAAATTATCTACTTTGGAAAATAGTACAAGACAATTAAATGCAAAAACGAAAAATCGAAAATTACAATAATTTGATATAGTTAAATGTTCAATAATCAGAATAAAACGAATATTCATTTTTTCTTATATCCTCTCTATAATAGAAACAAAAAAAAAAGAATTAGAAAGTAAATCTTTTTACAAAGTTAGCTGTTTACTCGACTCTAGATAATCATGAAATATAGGCCTTAGGCTTATATTTCCCTACATGTCATTAGGGTTTATTAGGTGGAAAAAAATAATAAATCAATTATCTGTTTTTATAGACGGTTCACATATACATAGATAATAATTTCGTTACATAAATGTCAGTTTTTCTTACTTTCAACATTTTCAATTTTCAAAATAAAATAAAAATATTTACAAGGAAACTAGTTCTTTGTTAATAGTTTTCATTCAATTTTTTTAATATATAATTTTTTATCATTTTTGTTTTCTCTTTATTTGTCTAAGCTTTATGTTTCAAAAATAAAAATTTTTAATTATTTTTAGCTCTTTCAAAATGAAAAAAAAAATATGAAAACAAAAACTCTACAACAAATGAAAACTACAACTAGAACACTGAAAAACTCACACTTTATAACTCGCCGCATATTCATATAATTATGGTTATGGTTTCATCTTTTTTCTAGTTGATTTGTCATTCTTGAAACAGAAGACTATGTTGAGTTTATTCGTTGATATAAAGCTTGCATTGTTCAATAAGTTACAACTTGTGTTTTAAATATGGTTTATAATATTATTATAACTATTATTCTCAAACAAATATTCTGATTAAAAAATAAAACAAATTAAAAACAAAACAAAACGCTAAGAATTTGCACATACAATTTGTTTAATATATAGTTGTGAAAAAAGCTACATATTATTTTAATTTTTTTAGTTTTAATTTCTATGTTAAATCAATTTAGTTTTGTTGTAATTATACCCCCATTACGTAGAGAAATTAAAATATGTTGCAGTAAAATATTTTATGCATATATATATATAAATATATATATATTAATATTTTTGTTTGTAGATGGTAATTTTTAAAACAACAACAAAAAATATATAAATATTTACTCCAAAAATCTAAAACATTTTTGTATGAAATAATGAAGTGGAATTAAAAATGGACTATTTTGTTACACCCTCCATCATAGGTACATTGATTTTTATTTGAAATAACATTTCAATAAACTAATGAATTGAATCGTGTAGTAGGTTGGGAAAAAATCCATTATATTTATATGGACTTTTTTAACATGCTTCGGAATGTCCAAATTTGTCCAAATATGCACCGGTTTGTTACCATTTTAATGGTAACTTCATAATGCCTCTCTCATAGAAGTCCGGCTCTCAATTAAAAAAAAAAAAAAAAATTAAAAACTCTAGTAGACGATTTTCACAATCCTCCCTAGATACCAATTTCTCACCGTTAAAGAAATTTTGCAATTTGAGAAAAAGTTGATAATCGCTGGGTGCTAAGTCCAGAATGTATGTCGAATGCATTAAAAATTCCCAACCAAGCTCCCGAAGTTTCTGGCGAGTCACTGTAGATGTGTGTGGGTTACCGTTGTTCTGGTGGAACACGACATCTCTCCTATTGGCCAATTCTGGCCGTTTCTGGTCAATTTGGCTGTTACAGTATCGGAACCATAAACACCATTCACAATTTTAGCCGATTGGCGTGCAAAAAACAACTAAATATTTTTTTAGTGCAAAATGTTACCCCTCCAACGAGTATAAATCTGGAATTGTTTTATCGACACTTTACGAAAAATCTATTAGTACAGCCATCTGCCCAAAAAAATAATGAATTTATTTTTCCCCAACTTAATAAATGCAATATTAGCCGGAAGGAATGTCAAATTAAAAAAAATCTTGCAAAACCTATTATCTTATCAGTCTATTTCATATCCGAAGAGAGATCCATTGGTCCACCCATTCTGGTAAAAAAAATCTTGCAAAACCTATTATCTTATCAGTCTAGTTCATATCCGAAGAGGGATCCATTGGTCCACCCATTCTGGTACTTCCCCAATAAATGACTAACATTTTCAATATATATATATATAAATCATTCACCGGGATTTATATATATATATATCAAACACCTTAGCAAAACCCATTATCTTTACCAAGCCTAGTTCAAGTCTGAAGATGGGACATATTGGCCCATCCCTTCTGGTACCCCTCCACAAATCCAATATTAGGCCAATGAAATGTTCGATGTGAACCAAACTTTGCACTATCTATTATACTTACCAAACCTTATCAAGTCCGCAGGTGAGACGCGTAATATTTTATAAACTTAAAATTTAATATTACAATGCGCAATATTTTATAAACTTACAATTTTAATTTGAATCGAATTGAATAACCGAGTTGGTCTACCTTAAATTTTTTTATAAAAGGTATAATAAAACCTGTGAGTACTTCCTAGGAACTCCGCAAACCATAGACTGTGGGTATGTATGAATGTATCTGTCGGCAAGACCGACTGGCACTTTGTTACTGATTTATTATAAAGTTGAAATTTTGCAAGCATTGATTACTTTGAGGTAATATTCCAATTGAGGGCATAAACATGATCTTTCACATAGCCAAGAATTCCAAAATGTCGCATGATCTTGGTGGTCAGTTGATATTACCACGACGAGAAATTACGCGACCGGGAAATGCATGTTACAATAAATCTATATTCGTTCTAGTGGTGTGGCCTGTGGCACCGTTTTGTTGAAACCACACATTATCTAAATGGTAGTCTTCAATAGCATGCAAAAATAATCGGTGACATGTCGTTTTCGAAGAAGTAAGGTCCATTCACAGCGCACCAAACAGGTACGTTTTGTTGATGTAATGGCCTCTCTTCAATTACTTGAGGATTCTCAGAAATGCTCAATGTTGTACATTAATATATCCTCCCAGTGAGAAATATGCTTTATCGCTGAAGAAAACACCCATTACACGTGTCTACGACGTTGTGAATTGACCATAGAATGTCCATAGAAGTACGAGGAATCGACCCTTTTGGGACGAGCTAAACGATGATTAATAGGCTTTACAATATTTCTATACTTTTCAGTCTCTTTAAATTTCTCGCTAACGCAGTTGGACGATTATTTAAATCATAATCGGCTTTTAATGTACGAATGTGGCAGGATCACAAAAAAAGTTTAAAAACAAATGTTGCATTTTTTGACCCATACATTTGATAACCCTGTAATATGAATTTTGATACAATTGTTTGGCATGAGCCGAACAGCTGATTTCAGTTTTAGCGTGAGCTGGACTTTATATGGATGTAAGTCCATTGATCCATGGATCTGAATGACTCTAACACCCGAAAACTACGAGGAACGAGCGAAACGATGATTCATTGGCCTTACAATATTTCTAACCTCTTCAGTCTCTTCAAATGTCTCGCTTTCGTAGTTGGACGATTATTTAAAGCACCATCTGCTCTTAAATCACGACAGTGACAGAATCACTGAAAAAAATATAGTTGTCGAATTCTGATACATTTTATGACCCTGTAATATGGATCGTCTTTGACGATGTTCAACAACTTCTGCGCGAAGTCCATGCGACGTTGTTTTTGCAATTTAGCAATTTAGGAACAGTAGACATGCCAAACGCCACAGTCTTCATTTCAAATGCCCTTGCGCATTTAATTTATTTTTTTACACAAAATTTAATACAACTTCGTTGATCCATTTAAATAGTAAAAATTCAAAGAGTATGGCAAACCTCGGTTAACCTTTTTATCTTCCAAATGGTTGATATTATCAGGCAACTATTAAAACAAAACTTTTTTTAGACCCTCCATAATGATCGTATACCCTCCAAAATGAGATGGACACTCCAAAAATCTAAGTTCAGGGAGTATCTCTTTATGCGGGGGCGTTTTTTTACCATGCGAGAAAATGAAATACAAAATTACAGACATTTATATTGGAAAATTAAGCTATATGTAGTAAAGGACAAATATTCAGAATTTTAAATACAAGACGGCACTCACATTGGATAGAAAATACGCCTCTTTCCATGAAAATACAGAAAATAAGGCGGAACCTTTATAAGATTGATTTTCTGTTACATCTTGGGACTACAGAGCTTCCTCAAATCATTGACATAGGTTAGTTTCGTTTTTTTTTATTCCGGCTTGGTCCTTTTACTGCCATCTATCGTTGCATAAAGCAACCCCTACTTCAATGTTGTGCAAAGCTTGGGGTCCTTGTTTATTTAATATTGTAATTTTCATCGGCGTATTGTAATTTTCATCTTCTGCCATTTATTTTCGTGTTATGCACAATGCATCTCCTTCGGTTAGCTTTGCTTATTATTTTAGCTATGTAGATGATTGCTAGCCTACCCTAGGTGGTGAGACTGCCATCTATCGTTGCCTAGAATCAACATCTCTTTCAAGTTTATGCAGTGGTTGGGGTCCTTGCTTATTTAGTGTTGTTATTTTACTATGGGTGATGCTATCTCTTGTCATTCCTATTAGTGTTATCCTCATATGTTGATCTTGATGGGGATGTTAATTAGTCGATGGACTTCAGATGCATTTCATCAAGTGGGGGATGTAAGCCAGTTTTTACAAATATTCAGAAGCGCTCTAAAATCATGTTTCCTCCCCCGATTCAAACCTGGGAGCCACCAGTTTGAAGTCTTGCACACTACCCACTTCATTACGGCATATTTCTTTAAGTTTTTTTAACCAAAGACGGTCAGGAAATTTATATATATTTGGTAAGTTAATAATAAAAATATTAAATATAATCAAATTAAAAAATAATAAATATTTTACTGCAACATAATTATGAACACAAAATTATCACAAATTGGCAATTTCATTAGCATATTTTTTTAGAAATTAGAATTGGCAATATTAGATTATCATAACGAAAACAAAATATGCATTTCTTAGGTTTTTAATAAAATTAGGCTATTAAATTTTATTTTTGTTTAATTTATTCCTCCCACGGCCCTTTGTTTTCTAGTTTACCACTTCCCAATCTAAAAAAAATTCAAAATTTTAACAAAAACCAAAAATCAAGTACTAATTAATGTTAGTGTGTAAATATAATTAAATATTTTTCAAGTAGATAATTTGAGTTTTGAAAATATTTAACAATTTTAACTATAACAAAGTAATAATAATAACATTAATAACAAATATATAATACCCAAAAAACTACAAACAAACCAACAATTTATAGTATATAGTAATATAAAAAATTGTGTAGTATAAATGAGAAAAAATAACAAATCAATGAAGACACTAACACAATAACAAACATAATTTTGTTAATTTTCTCCATGTAATGGAATGGAAAATTAGACAAAATATATTACACAAAACAAATTGAACACAATTTTCCCACAAAAGAAAAAACAAACAATTTTTCTGAACAACAAACCAAACAAGACATACTCGTTTTTATCCCATTTTATTAGAGTTGAACATACATTTGACATACATTGTTACAAAAAAAAATTTACTACTACTACTCTAGTATTTTGTGAAATTTGACAATTTCTTTTTTCAGTTTATTAGTTTTGTAACTTTTGACATAATATCCTTTATTAACACTAATATACTCTCTCTATATATATTAACCAGAAAAAACACATAGACATACTTTTGATATATCAATAACATATGTATTTTTTTAAACATTTTAAAAAACACATTTTCCCGATGAGATCATACTAATACATTGTCATTTTAGATGTGCAACGGGCGAGGCGTGGCCGAACATTATGCTGGCGTGCCTTAAGGGGAGGCCATGCGATGAAGAAGCCGAAAAGGGTGACGAAACCTGTGGTTCGACATTGGCCTATGCCTATTTTGTATCGTTTATATTCTTCTGTTCATTTCTAATGTTGAATTTATTCGTTGCTGTCATTATGGATAATTTCGATTATCTAACAAGAGATTCCAGTATATTGGGTGCCCATCATTTAGATGAATTTGTTCGGATATGGGCTGAATATGATCCAAATGCGACGTAATTATCAATTTAATATAATTAACTAATTAATTACTTATTCGTCTCTGTGTATATCTATTTGTTAATCATTGTTACAATTGTAGTTATAAATTTATTTTTTGTTGATTTTTATTTTGTTGTTAGCATTCTTTTTTATGTTTATTCATTGCAACGTATTTTTATTAATTTATATGTGTGCGTGTGTTAATTTCATCTGCAATTTTTCACTATCTATATGTGTATGTTGTTTTAATTTGCAAAATGTTGTGTTTTAACAAAAAAAAATATTTTATGTTTGTATTTTTTTTTATTTATTCGTGGTGGATACCTAGATGAGATCACCTATTTCAATATTGAAGGAAGATGGAAAAATACAATGGAAATTGTAGGGCAATTGTCTGGGTTGATTGGGATTAAAGACCCACAGAATTAAAAACACTAATATTCAAATTCAAACTAGAATTTGGCCCTTTTAAATTTCAAAAATCGTCCGGTGCCGTTATATAAGAACCAATATATTAATAAAATGTCACATCATGTCAAAATTCAAGATCTTTCAAACACTAATTTTGGCCTTATGGGTAATATACCAAGATATCATGTTTTTATTAATTTCATTTGATGAATATTAATCTATATTATCCAATACCTATAGATATTGATAAATCAAATCAGCTCATAATATCGGTTTGCAAAATGTTGGACCAAGAACATTAATTACTAGAAGGAATGAAAATCCTTATATATGTCCTTTATTTAGAAAAAAATTAAGTCAGTTTAAGTTCTGATACAAATATTGGTTTTCAAGGAAAGTTTACAAAATATATTATGTTATATATTCTATCATGATTAAGGACACAAATCTACAAACCGAATTAATACCACTTAACAATATTTTTAAAACAAATGAAGCCCAATCATTTAAATATGTCAATATGAGAAGATATTGGCTCAAACCCCTCTCTATTTTTTATTAAAGATATTATTTTGGCCGAATAATTTTATATATAGGTATCCACCAAAAATTGAGAAAATATTCAGATTAAAATGTAAAATTCTTTCAGAACTTAAAATGGGGCTGGACCGTTGTATTTCGACTATATATAAACTTTGACTAATATTAATACGAATACATTTTTCCGCAATGAAATCTTCTATCCTCTGAAAATCTAAATCCCAAATTACAGACTATTTGGCTAAAAAATAGCCAAGGGCCTTTAACAACAATCTGTCGGTACCTCCATGTTGTGTAGATCATTTATCCTTCGAATTAGAGTAGCCATAATAGATTTTCTACACCAGACATGGTCCCCTCTGACTTCAAAGGAACAATATAATCATTGAGGAATAAATTAGATTTATGTCAGACCTTAGCGGTACTTTTTATACCCTCAGATTCATTGCTAAATGTGCTTCACCGACATTTTGCATTTGGACCCCATGTTTCTTTGGACCAAATTCGTTTCATTTTTAACTGAATGCATTTTTTTTACTGCGAAATGTCACTCTTCCAACGAGTATAAATCTGAAATTGTTTGATCGATACTTTACGAGAAATCTATCAGTACAGCCATCTGCCGAAAGAATAATGGATTTCTTTTTCTCTAGCCTAATATGATTTTTTCCTAAGGTTCTATGGACGAAAATTCCAACACAATCTTAAAAGGATGAATTGAATGTCTTATATTATAAAAGACCTTTTCAGAGCTATTCTTTTTTGGACATTTTTTTAGAGAACACAGGTTTTTTCAGACCTAATATATTTTTAGAAGACATTTGGAAAATCCGAATAATCTTTGTAAAGAACTTTAGGGTGATGGTCTGGACGACGCTCAACTCTTGAAAACGCCGTGGAATTGCGTTTTCCTTCTGATATGACATCTTCAGAAAATCTTATCGAGTCTAGCCCTCTCAGAAATATTAATATTAATTGTTGAGTTCTTTAGAATTTTTTGTCTATGGGAAGCTATGAGATGTCCATTAGAAGACCAATCGATATTATTTGGGAGATTGACCATTTAAGTTTGAATCATAAAACTAGATAGTCTGTTATTTTGGGGATATATAATTTACCAAATCCCCTTTCAATACAATTTGGCTATATCGAAGACATACCAGAGATTAATTGTCGATCGAAGGCCCTTTTGATGAAATTTCAGACATTTTTTGAACTTTTCTTTTTAAGAATTCTACAAAATTTTTATAGGAAGATTGTTTTTCTGAATGGTAAGACCTTAAGTTAATTTCCGATTTTTATATTCTTATGTATTCTAACAAATACCGGCCTAAGAAACACTGAGTTTACTACATCAGTTTCCGGTGCTCACAGTAGCACGAAAACGAATGAACCGACCAGCATATATTTAAGTAGGATAATTAAGAAATAAATGAAATTGTATTTAAGGGAAAAATAATTAGCAATTTTCTTTTTTAAAAAGGTAAGCTGTCAAATTAAAATCAGTATTTTTTAAAAGATTTTGAACCTATAAGTTTTGAAAAATATCCCATTTAAATTTCAAGTTATTGTGTCAGCATCAGTCGACTCAAAATTTTCTCGAAGCAGTGTTTTTACGATTGGCGGGCACGATAACCCAAAAACCATTCCAATCGACTCCAAAATTTAATATATTATTCTGGACCTACATAGTTATCGTTAGGTTAAATCCAATGGTGAATATTTTCCCCAATTCTCAGCATGTTTTCACCGAAAATAGGCGATTTTTCCAAAAAAAAACTTTCCTAGATCGTCTATTGTGCTAATTTTCCAGAGAAGTCAATAAGAGTGTAGAAATAGTTACAATTTATGAATATCGGGTATACATCATTTTGAGCATCGTATTTTATGATCCAATATGATTAGAGGTATAATCAAAACTAAAACTTTAAAAATGTAATATATAAAATATAAAAAATGTCGATATTGCTGACACTTACCTTAAGGGGACCCCCCCATTCTCGGGGTCAAAATTTTTGTTGACTTAATTCCAATCTACACTAATTCAAGAATGTCCCTGCAAAATTTCAAGTTAAAATCTCAAGAACTCTGGAAGATATAGCCGATTTATTGTGTCAGCATCAAGTGACGGCTGAAGGGCTTCTCAAACTTTAAACGCGTTTTTCTCTAAACATTTTTTTGCGAATGGCGGGCACGATAACTCAAAAACTAATAACCCAATCGACTTCAAATTTTTACACGTTTCTCTGTGAGTGTATAGCTATCGTATGAACTAGGATAAAGCCAATCGGTGAACATCTTCCTTATTTTTTAACTTGGTTTTTGGTCAAAAATCGGCGATTTTCAAAAAAATATTTTTTCAAACGTCAGCCATTTTGTTAATTTTAGAGCGAGGTCAATTATCCTAGTTCATACGAGAGCCAGACATGTACTCTTTCTAACACCGTTGGAATTTTCGGATTCCGATGTTCCAGTGAGGAGTTATCATGCCCGCCATCAAAAATAAGGACTTTTCTTTGATCACAAAAAACAACAACAAAACAACAACAAAAATTTTTTGTAAAATATTTTTCTTCCTTTTTAAATCTTCAAATACATATGTGCAAAGTTACAAACCTTAACAAGCATTGGTATTCATTTGCCAGCCCAGTTAAAATCTTAAAAATAAAAAATCGAGAATGGGGGGGGGTTCCCTTAAGTGAAATAAGACTGATTTTTTTACTGCTTCCTGATACATATTTGTAATAGTTAACGCAAACACATTGTTGTATTTTTTCTGAAAAAAGAAAAAAAAAATAGTTTTCTACACAGTAGTGTTTGGCCAAAATAGTCAGGCTTAATCCCAGTTTGTTGTTTTTATAAAAAACAACATTTATTAGTTATGGCATTGTCCGCCAAGGGGTAAGGCAGGGAAGACTATAGTTTCGGATCTCGCCACTGATCCTCATCAGTTCCCTTCTACACAGTCAAGAATTTTGTGGTAAAGTTTCTTTAATGAAATACATTTATTTCTATTTTCCATTAAAAGAAGCATACTGACTACTGAATATTTTCTCAATTTTCTTTCATTTTTTATAAATGATCGGTGTTGTTTTAATTGTAGATAGTTGTTGTAAAATATTTCAAAAAAATCTTTGACATTCATTATTTTTTGTTATAATTTTGTTCATACGTAATTTGTGATTATTTGATGTTTTATGTTTTAATTTTCTATTTGGTCAATTTTATCAAACAAATGTTATTATATATTTAAGCTTTTTAACAAAAAAACTCACATTGTTTAAGTTTCGTTATTTAACACAAAATTTAAAAACCAAACAAAAACAATAATTTTTGCAATACACCCAAATGCAAAAACAACTCTAAAAAGCTTAAAGCGTTTATATTAAATGATTATTATTTGATCGTATTTGTTTCATATGCGCAATTGCAATTTGATAAAAAACACATATCTAAAAAACTCCAAACCAAACCAAAACAAACAACAATAACAACGTTCCACAAAAACACAATAACTCTCAAAACAAAAAGGTAACCAAAATTTATTTTATAAATTTCAATGCTAAAATATAAAGCTTACCTTAATATACTTTCAAAACTAAATATCCTCTTTAGTCAAAAGCTAGTTCTCCTTAATAAAAAAACCTAATTTTAGCAATCTCAGAAAAAAAAGAAAATTAGTCTTCAAATAGCTCAGTCATATCTAAAAGCTTCAATAACTTTTTTCCACAAAATATGAAGCTTTTTCTCAAATAATAGAAGAAACATGTTTAGCCATGCCATTTAATTTAAGCACCAAACAAGGCTTAAAGCTAGCTACCATTTATTTAAGCTAAAAACCAATATCACTCTCTTAACTCAACATTACACTTAACTACTTTTTTCCTAAATTTTAAATTTCCTCATATATATTTTTAAAACTAAACATAAAAATCTAAAATTTCGTATTTTAAAATTTATTTCTACGTAAATGTTTCTTAATATAAATTTTAAAAAGAAAATTCTCAATGTTGTTGCTAACGTATATTTATTATATATATGTAATATATGTGTGTATGTGTGTGTCTTTTGTGTATAACTTGTTGCTGAAATGCTAAACAACAACAACATGAGATATATAATTAAGCTTACTTTCAAAATTTTGATTACTGAAATTAATTTCAAAACGTTTTATCTTCACATTCGTTTTATGTGTATATTGGGGGTCTTTCTAACCGTCCGCCGATCGCCTTCACAAAACAAAATCGTTCTTGTCCATTACAATCTGTATAAAGTGGTCGTATACTCTATACGGAAATGTATGACATGTTAAAAAATATGGATCCTCCATTGGGGTTCGGTAACAAATGTCCCAATCGCCTCGCCTTCAAGAAATTAATACGAATGAATATGCCCCTGGATGATGAGATGAGAGTACAGTTTACGACCACACTATTTGCATTGATACGAGAGAATCTTAGTATAAAAATGAGACCGGGTAAGTACAGAAGAACAGTTGATGATTGTAAATAAAATAATAAAATTACCCTACAACACCACAACATGATCCCGTGACATTTCTCATATGTAATAGCACGTATATGAGTTCTACTGTTTCTATTATAATTGTAAAAATGCGAATATTTATAATCAAAAATTGTTGTATTGTTTTTCAAGGTATTCTCAAAACCAATTGTCTAAGCATTTTTTTTACAGGAATCCCTATAATGTTCTTCATAGCAATAAAATGCTATGTCCGTCTCTCTGTGAAATCGCGAGCTCGCATTCTTATATTATAGCTTCCATATTAAGCTCCCGCTCCACTTTTTTGCTACATTTTCCAACCAAGTAAAATTTTTGTAGAGTTTTTTCCCAGAGTGGCTGTAAAGTGCAGTTCTGGATTCCTGGTGAATAATCAAGTTCTTCTCAGAAACTAGCCAAGCTGGCTTGTGACAGAACGTTCGTTCCAAAAGCCGTCAGTCTTGTTCCGAGATATTGTCTTCCTCGATCTTTCCATTGGATTCGTGGCCTTCCCTTTCTGCGTGAACCATCACTTGGCTCGCTTTTATATGCTTTTTGAGCTGGGGCAGCTCGATGCATCTGACCGGTTCCATAGACGGCTATATTCACCGCCGACGCAGATCGGTCCATAGATCTTTCGGAGAATTTTCCTCTAAAACACTCCAAGAGCTGCCTCAACCGTTTTCGAAGGTACCCATGCTTCAGATCAGTGGCATGTGGAGTGTGAGTTTGGTCTGAAAAGAGGTTGTCTTATTCCTAAATTGCTAACTCAGACCATAGTATCATCTATTGGCCAACACTCTTATTCTCCGGATTTCAAAGCTGATGTTAGAAGTTTTGTTTATGACGGTACCAAGGTATATGAAATCAAGGTATGGTCCGACTCTACTGAACGTCTTGTGCGTTGATACCATTAGGTTGGTCTTCTCATCATTTACTGCCCACTTTGGCAGACTCCTTCTCAATTCGTTCAAAGGTGACTGCTCGTAATGTTCGACCCATTATGTTGATGTCGTCGGCGCAGGTGAGTAACATATGCTGTTTGGTATACAGAGTGCCATTTCTGTTCACATTTGCATCTCCTATGACCTTTTCCAGCAGGTTTAACAGGTCACACGACAAACTGTCACCTTGTCTGAACCCTCGTTCGGTATTGAAGGGAAGTCTTTTTCAATTTTAACAGCTGACCTTGGGCCAGCTAAAGTTACGCTGCGTAGCCGTATTAATTTTGCAGGAATGCCGAACCCAGATATGGCTTTAAACACCTCTGAGCGGATTGGGCTGTCGTATGGGGCTTTGTAGTCGACAAATAAGTGGAATGTGTCGATGTGTTGTGGGTCTTCTCCAGTATTTGGCGCAGTGTGATTGGCAAGGTCTGAAGCCGCATTGGTATGGTCCAATAAAGTAATTGACCATTGAACGACTGAAGCCAATATGCGATGGGAAGGATAGGGCACAGGTTCCAATCATTGGGCATGCATTCCTCTATCCAAATTGTACTAATCAATTGATGCATGCTCCAGATCAGCGTCTGACCACCGGTCTTGAATAGTTCAGCTGGCAATCCATCGGCTCCTGCTGCTTTATTGTTCTTCAGCCGATTTATTACTATTCTGACCTCAACTTGGCTAGGTGGTATATATATCTGTATATCTCGATTTAAAATTGAGATGATAGAGGGGCGAAGATAAACCTGGGTTTCGCCATCTTAAAACCAATCAGAGCCGTTGCCTTGTATCTATCATCCCCTACGCCATATCACATACCACGAAAATTTTCTCGTGTTATTCCATTTTTGAGGGGCGAAGTAAACCTGGGTTTCACATGTTAAAACAACACAACTCATGGTAGTATCGACGCCATATCACATACCACGAAAATTTTCTAGAGTTACGTTTTTATTCAAAAAAAAAAACTTTCAAAATAAAACTTAAAAAAAAAAAAAAAATAGAAATGTCCTGCATCCAAACTTTGCACAATGTAATATTTTTACCAAACAAATAAGATTGTACCCTTCAGGTAACTCGTCCATGTTGTGCCAATATTTTCAAAATTTGTATGTAAATCTAATATTAAATAAATGGTGGTTCGGATTTCGATCTACTTATTCTGGTATTTCATATATCATTTAAATCGAATGAAGTATTAGATTTGATGGGTTAATTGGAATTATATGACTTTGTTTTCAGTGTTATAGCCATGTACCCATGATTCGTCACCAGTTATCATATTTATTTATTTTCTTTGAAAGTAGAACGAATTCAATCCTTTGGATATTTGCGATTTTTCATTGTGGTGGTGTAGGTTAATATCATAAAAATAAAAAATAAAGTGTTTCTAGTCTCTTAGTTCAACAATTTCAAAAATATTTGTATTCATTTCATTTTCCAAATAATATTCTATTGTTTTTCCAAAACAAAAATTATAGCTGAAGAAATGGATCAAGCCGATTCGGAACTTAGGGAAACAATAGAAAAAATCTGGCCATTGCAAGCCAAAAAAATGCTGGATCTACTGGTGCCGCCCAATGATCAATTGAACAAGGGCAAAATGACAGTGGGTAAAATCTATACAGGATTATTATTGCTGGAAGCATATCGTTTAAGACGAGATGGCGGCGGCGGCCAAGGTGGAATGCCGGTAAGTTTTTTCATGATCTTTTCTATGCAATTTAAGAACATCTTAAAGATTACTTTTCATAAAATACAAGAAATTAAGAAAGAAAATAAAAAAGAAAATTTATTAAATTTTTATGAAATATTATATATATAAAAAATAATTAAAGAACTATGGTATATATGATAAGGGTATATAAAACAAAAATTGGCTTTAAGTTTGAATCAACAAAAAAATTAATAACTATAAGTTTTCAGGATATTATTATTATTTAAATGTGTTTTGTCAAAATTATGCTTAAGGAAAAACAAAAATTAATTAAATTATTATTTCTATTGTAAATATTTCCATTAGATTTTATTTTTATAAAGCAAAACTATGTGGTAGTATTTTGTAAAAACAACTACAATTTAGGAAAACAATACCTAGCGTTTATTATTGGCACAAACAAAAACAAAAAATCTTAGAGTGATTTTCTTTATTAACATAAAAATGCTCACTGTTTCGTAAATAAAAAAAAAAAGAAAAACAATGTGGAAAACTAACAAAAAAAGTATGAAAACTCATAAGACACGTTGATTATAAATTGATGATTTAACTTGCACCAATACGACCTATTTTTTAATAATATATATTTAAGCAATCGAAAATAGATTTATTTGTAATACATTATTGAAAATCAAAAAACAAATTATCTTATTTTTAAGCGTCTTAAATTCTTTGATATATGTTAATTTGATTTATTTTTAACTTCTTTTCACTTGCTCGTAAAACAAAAAAAATTGTTTCAAAAACTTGGTCATCAAAACTTTTGTTAACAATTCTCTAACAAAAACACCCAAACAAAAAATTTGTGTAAAATCAAATTCAAAAATTATAGCAGAATTGGAAAGAGGTACTTATTACTCTCTTACACCAAAGTTAATATTATTAATGTTTTAAATATTGTTACATCAAATATATATTTAATTTGTTGTTGACAACATATACTCGTTTGTATTCCAATATTAAAAAAAACAAGTTAATTAGTTTATTTTTCCAATATTTGATATTTAATGAATATATATTTACGAGAGTTTAAAAAATATACATATTTAAATTTATTTTATTTATTTTTTTACATATTTAAACATGTTTTAACTATGTAACCCCTTAACATGTACTTTAGAAAAACCTCTGCGATGATCATTTGAAATTGAAAATGAGTCAAATTTTCTTGAAACGCCTCTAAACAAAATCTACAATAGATACAAATTCTGAGAGCGCATTTAAAAAGTTATCTATCCTCGAAGCTTCAAAAAAAAAAAAAAATGGAAAATGATTTTCAGATTAAGTTGAAAATATCATGCGAACACCGTATCAGATTTTTACCACACCTATCAAAGGTCAAAATTGATTCTGCCACATATACAACAGCCAGGCAAGGCATTTTGTGCGCTTTGGAAAGAAAGATTATTACTAGTCCTCCAATACCTCTCGAAATTACATGTTTTGTTGAAGTCCTTGAGCATTTTGAATTGGGTTCACCAATGAAGGATAGTGTCACGAATTTGGATTTGAAGATTCCCTGTCCAGGACTTCATGCTAGCGGAGAGTCATATGTGCAACAACACTCACCAGAGTTAATTTGTGCTAGTGCTCCGTTGGCGCACAAGTCTCTGTACAGGTATTTTGTATCGGGACAGGGATTTTATTTGAATAGTCATTGAATGTATAAATAATAAAAGGTATCAAAGCTCAAGTTGGTGTTATCTGTTTTGTTCAAAAAATATACCCAGGCAACATGTACTCTGAAATTTCTGAAGTGCTTTTGCAGTATATTTTTCTCCATTGCAGTGTATCATCTTTGAACTGAAACCCCATATAGATCCTAAGGCTCTTATCGACCCATTGCTGTAAGTGGTATTTTCATTTGAGCTTCCTACTCAAGATAACCTCTAGGTATTTAAAATAATTGGATATGGATATTTCTTTCTTTTAGAAGATTGACACCTTATACCGTTCTAGTTTTTATACCCTACACAACTATGATGTCAGGGTATTATAGCTTTGTGCAGCCCCAAGAGTTTGTAACGCAGCGAAACATTGGTCCTAGACCCACCTTTAAGTATACCGATCGTCATATCTCGACTAGCTGAGTCGATCTAGACATGTGTGTCCGTCCGTCTGTCCATTATAATTTGTAAACACGATACAGGCCACAGTTATGGACCAATCTTCACGAAATTTTGCATGTACGAAGGGTTCGGCCCAATGAAGACCCCTATTGTTTTTGGTAAAAATCGGTTAATAATTAGGGGATGAAATGGACCAAATACTTAATTTTTGTCGGTTTTTCTGGTCGTTCCAGAGGACGCAATTATGGCCCAAACATCTCGAATTTTTACATGAAGAAGGGGATTGGGCCAAAGAATAAGCATACCTGTTTTGAAAAAGATCGGTCAATATTTAGCGGGTCAAATGGACCCTGACTTTTGTGTGAAAAATTACAAAAGTTGTATTCTACAGCGTATATAATTACTCCTGAAGGACATAGAGCCGAGAAGTTAATAGTTTATCCAAGAGGAGTGATGGGCTTTTAAATTGATACCAATTATATTGTCGTATGTACACGGATGTGGGAGCTATACGTAAATATTTACGTACTTACGTATACAGAAGTGGACCGAAAACTTATTTTTTGTGTTTTTTTTTCGATTCGATCAATAGGCTACTATTATAAGCCGAACATCACAACACAACCCACGGTGAAGGGAATGTGGACAAGTAATTAGAAGGGCTGTACTGAATATTGGTAATATTCGGAAAATATGTCAGTGTAGGGAAGAGGTGCTATTGACCTCTAATCGGTAAAGAGGGTGCAACTATCACGTAATATTACCCAGGCTCGGAATAACAATACGCAAAACAAATAAAGTTCTGTGGTAGTTGTGTAGGGTATCGTATGGTCGGCCCCGTCCGACTATACTGCTCCGCTCACTGGTTATTTTTGTAAATGGGCCACCAAACTCTCATGGTTTGTCCGATTGTGACGAAATTTTGCATAGCATCCCGTATTGAGTCTAGAATGATATATGTTAACTGGTTTGTTGCAGAACGGTTGTTCCATAAACCGAGCTTAAAAATGATTTTCAAGCGCGTCGTCTACTGCGCATCTCCTACAATTCGAAACACCATGTTCCGAGATGTCTTCTGCTTTATCTTTCCATCTAATCCATGGCCTTCCTCGTCTGCGTGAACCATCAGTTGGCTCGCCACGTATAGTTTGTAAAGCTCATGGTTCATTCGACGCCGATATTCACCGTCGACGCAGATCAGCCCGTAGATCTTTCGGAGAATTTTTCTCTCAAACACCCCAAGAGCTGCCTCATGCTTGCGCAAGTACCCATGCTTCAGATTCTTATAACAGCACGGGTAGTATCAGCGTCTTGTAAAGTGTGAGTTTGGTCTGGCTGAAGGTGGCCTTGTTTCTAAACTGATTACTTAGACCATAGTAAAATCTGTTGGATAACACTATCCTTATCCCAAGGTATATAAAATCTTTAAATACCTCGAAGATGTAGTTCTCAAATCCCCTCTGATCTTTCCTTTGTATTTACATGATGTTTATATTTTAACGGATGTTAGTGTCGTCTCTTCTTAATATACTAAGTTTTTTCATTATCGATATCAATCAAATATATTATTTTTTTTCACATTAAATGAAAACGAACAAAATTGGTCTACGAATAAAATAATAACTCTCGTAAATATTCATTAAATTATTAATACAAATATTTATTTCAATATATTCCTCAATTATGTTAAAGTTATAAAATTCAGGTTGATGATAACCATTATCGTTGTGATATTATTTTTTTTTTCGTTTACAAGTTTAGACCATAGCCCAGTAAAGTATATTTTTTAATATAAAAAAATCAAAAAAAAAACTTGTGGCATGTTTTTGTTGCCTTAGATGTTAAACAAAGTAAATTAATATAAAAAATTAACGTTGTGAAGTTGATGTATTTTAGGTGGTATATAAACAATATATATTTTAAATATTTTGAGGTTCTTAAATATTTTATGTTTTGGAAGAATTGTTAATTTATAAAACCAATAAATGCACGATGTTATATTTTATATGGCCCCTATATGTTATTATATGAGACAAAATGATTTTCGGTCAAGGTAGTCCTTTATAACGGATCCTATTGGGCACTAATAGGTTAAACAATTCTTCCATAATACCTTTTTATATTTATTTTGTTTTTTATTTTTCCTTTAAAAATATATTAATATGTGTCACATACATATAATAAAAAACAATTATATATATATATACAAACCAATACCACCATGTCACATAAACATATAACAAACAAATAATATAAATATATATAAACCAATTCATTGAGATATTAAATATTTTCATTCTTCTATATTCAAAAAAATAACATTCATTTGTATGTGTTCGCGTCTGTATGTGTGTGTGTACAAAAAATTCAAAAACATATCGAAATTACTTCGATAGCGGAAGGGTCGTGGTGAAGATGATGAAGAACAAATGCTCAGTCCAACAGCTGATGAAGAACCGGTATATAACTAACACCAACTAATGGTTTTTCTTGTATTGTACAAAACAAAACAAAAAATATCAATTATTTCTATTTGTTTTCCAAATATGTTATGCGTTTTCTTCCATAAAATCCCAAAAACAAAACACCAAAAAACAAACTTCCTGTGTATGGCTATTTTGTATATGATTGTATAGAAGAACGTCAGCAAACAAACAAAAACAATGAAGCTAGATGAATGTACATAATCTCTAAACTGATATGTCCCACCACCAACAACAAAATGCTCGTTTTTTTAATAATTATCATATTTCTGTTTCCTTTTTTGTGTCACATACAAAATAAAAATGAATGCCTGTCCCCAAACAAATGGCTATGAAAAATATATCCTTTGCAAAACAAAATACACCTTGCCATTTTTCTCTATATATATGCTGAATATTGAAAATGAATTGTAAATGATTCCGC